CCCATCCTAAGTGACATCCTTGTCACTTAGGCCCATTTCTTCTCTGTTACAAACTCTTAACTGTTGTAACTATAGTCCCCTGTTTCAAAGCTGCCTTGTTTCATTTTATTTCACTGGGTTTCAACAAGGAAAAAAAGTACAATGTGATTTCTAGCCCCCATGTCTACCCACATCCCACCCCACATCTTCCTTACCAGGAAGGCCCTCTAGTCCCAGTGGGAGAAGTAGAGGAGGTGGATACAATCCCATATTCAACTGCAAAAGTGTTGTAGGGGCAAGAAAGGTGAATGTGGTCTGGGATGAACTGGAGAAGCAAGTTATGGATCATGTGTCTACTGATTTTCCTTATCCTACACCCATTCAACACAAGTCTTATAATAGGATCCTGATGTCCTTTGGGGAAAGACCTAACTCCCTACCCTTAGAAGTGAGCAAAGGACACAGGTCTGGACAGCAATAGGGATGGCATCCCCTTGATTACAGTGATTTGTTCATAGGTGAACATGAATGTGTCTCAAGTGGTCTAATCAGGCCCATCCCCAAGCTAACTGGGGAAAATGCAATCTCTTTCCACGCAGGAGCTAATATGGTAACATACAAGACAGGAGCCCATCCAGTGCCTACCTGAACCTGGAACCAATGTAAAAGAAGACAGAGTCTAGACCTGAAGAAACAGAATAAGACCAGGTCCTGGAAAAATTTGGATCCCTGGATGCAGCTAATCCTGTCTTTGAAGTCATCAAGTGGTTCTGGATTTTAACTTACATCACTTAATAAATGTAGTTTTTGCTTCAAGCAAGTTCGATCAGTCTTCACTTAATTGTGGTGGAAAGAGTCCTCACAAATGAGATAGTCATAACAAAGAGGGACAGTGAAGACATGGAGAATGACAGGAGCAAAGACCTCAAAGCAGGGACATAAGCTTTGGGATATCTCAATCCTGTTCATCAAGACCCACAGAAGATAAATGAGGGGGAGCATATAATGAAAAATACTAAGTGATAGAGGCTTTGGATTTCACTCAAACTTCTGAGAACCCAACTCCAGAGCCGAAAGTAAGAAAATACATGCCTGGACCCAAAGACATCTCATGAACTGGCTGGTTCAGTGATAGTTCTCATTCAGGGAAATCCCTACCACATGCCAGATGCTGCACATCTGTGGTTAGCATTGTTCCTTTAAAGAATAGCACAGATTCCTCCTCAGGCAAGCCACAATTTTCATTAGCTGTGGTCAGGAGGGAACTGCGCTCCTTCAGACAAGTTTCAGCTGACAGAATGCTCTGGGGCATATCTTTCAGGGAAGCTGATTCATCTTCTCTGTCGGCCGGCTGTGGGGGATGCACACCTGTGTCCTAGGATGACTTCAGAGAGAGGGGAGACGAAAGACCACATTGGGCTCCAGCTGCCTCTGCAGACACTCCTGCAGTGGGGCCATGCCTGGTAGGCAGTCATCAGTGGGGCTGTTTGTGTTCAGCTCCAGGGAAACCCCACTGGGAACTCTTCCTTGGAGTTCTATCCCAGCCTCCAGCTTGGGTCGGGGGAGACTGACTGACATCTGGGCTTGATTTGATCCCCCACTTATCCACCTCTTGGCCATCCACACGCTACTCATTTTTCAACTATTGCAGAATGCAGGCTGTTCAAAGATGCTTTGATGGTGGACCTCCAAACAGCCAGAGGGGCAATCACATCGTGCCCACATTTAACCTCGAAGAATTCTGCTGATGTGTTTGGTGAGAGGGAGGAAAGAGAGACCAAAAGAGAACAATGTATCATGGATGTGAGTGACTTAACCTTCCTCCATCCCATTCACAGGGCAGCTGCTCTGAGGTGACTTTGAGAGGGTGTGTGTCATCTGTGGTTTCAGTATTCGTAGACCTATCATCCCATAAAACCTTGCCTTGCTGAATATATTTGTCAAAATAAGTAGAGCTGGCTGCTGTAATGAATAATGCCAAGTCTAAGATGCATCACACGATAGAGGTGGATGGCTTGCCCACTATCACAGGGGGAAGCATATCTGGAGGTGCCCCTTCATGATGGTCCTCTAGGCAGTAATGCAAGGATCCAGCACCTTCCATCCGTGACACTACGATATTCAACACTCCAGAAAAGGATGACAGCTGCTGCTGGCTGGACTCCCCAGAAGCAGGCTCTGAGATTGAGATCAGAATGCAGGATGTTTATCAGCGAGGACTCCTGGGATCAACACTTGTTGGAAGGGAAGCCAAGATGCAAGACCGGGCAGAGGGAAAAGGTGAATTGTGGTGCTGCCTCAAAATGGTCTCCATGAACCCAGTGGAAAATTCTGGAACCAGGTGTTCTCTCAGAGCTGTCCTGAGTTGGGGCAAATGGCTATGCTATTAAACCTCTGTGTTATTAGTCAGTGAATTCAGATGAGGACCACCTTCCAGCAGCACTCCCAACAGTTAAGGAATTAAGATTTCATTGCTAATGGTAGAACTGGATATTACCTCATGGCAATGACCACGAGAGGACTACAGCAGAGGTCAGAAAACTTGTGGTAAATGTTATTTTCCCCAGATTTTTCCCTTTCTAATTTCTGAATTTTTAATTCCAGTATAGTTACCTTGCAGTGTTGTATGAGTTTCAGGTGTACAACATAATGATTCAACATTTCCATGCAATACCAGGTGCTCATTATAGCAAGTGTACTCTTTAATCCACGTCACCTGTTTCCCCCAGCACCCCCACCTACCTCCCCTCTGGTTAACCAGCAGTTGTCCTCTATAAAGTGTCTATTTCTAGGGGTGCCTGAGTGGCTCAGTGGGTTAAAACCTCTGCCCTCGCCTCAGGTCATGATCCCAGGGTCCTGGGTCCGAGCCCCACATCAGGCTTTCTGCTCAACAGGGAGTCTGCTTCCGTTCCTCCCTCTCTGCCTGCCTCTCTGCCTACTTGTGATCTCTGTCAAATAAATAAATAAAATCTTTTTTTAAAAGTGTCTATTTCTTGGCATCTCTCTCTCTTCTCTTTTTTCTCTTGCTCATTTCTTTTGTTAAGTTCCACATATGATTGAAATCATGAGGTATTGGTCTTTCTCTTATTTTACTTAACGTTATACTCTCTAGCTCCGTGCGTGTCATTGCAAATGACAGGATCCCATTCTTTTTTATGGCTAAAGAGTAATTCAGTATATATCCCTCTGAATCAGTGTTTTTATTTTTGGGGAGTAAATACCTAGTAGCATGATTATTGGATCATAGGGTAGTTTTATTTTTAACTTTTTGAGGAATCTCCATACTGTTTTCCACAGTGGCTGTACCAGTTTGCCTTCCCGCCTACAGTGCAAAAGGCTTCCTTTTTCTCCACATCCTTGCTAACACTTGTTGTTTCTTGTGTCATTGATTTTAGCCATTCTAACAGGTGTGCCGTGATATCTCATTGTAGTTTTGATTTGCAGTTCCCTGATGATGAGTAATCATAACCATCTTTATGCATCTGTTGGCTATCTGGATGTCTTCTTTGGAGAAATATCCGTTCATTTCTTCTGCTCATTTTTTAATTTGGATTATTTGGGGTTTGGGTGTTGATTTGCACAAGTTCTTTATATATTTTGGGTACTAACCCTCTCCTGGAGATGTCATTTGCAAATATCTCCCACTCAGTAGGTTGCCTTTTAGTTTTGTTGATTGTTTCCTTCACGTGCAGGAAATTTTTATTCTGATGTAGTTCTCATAGTTTATTTTTGCCTTTATTTCTCTTGCCTCAGGAGACATATCTAGAAAAATGTTGCTATGGCCAATGTTAAAGAACTTACTGCCTGTGTTCTCTTCTAGAGTTTTTATGGTTTCAGGTTTCATATTCAGATGTTTAATCCATTTTGAATTTATTTTTGTGTATGGTGTAAGACAGTGGCCTATTTTCATTCTTTTGCATGTAGCTGACCAGTTTCCCCAACAAAATTTGTTTAAGAGACTGTCTTTCCCCATGGGATATTCTTCCTTTTGGTAAATATTTTAGGTTTTGCAGGCCATGTGGTCTCTGTCACAACTACTTGTGTCTGCTGTTGTAGCATGAAAGCAGCCAGAGGCCCTGTGTAAACAAATGAGTGTGGCTATGTTCCAATAAAACTTTATTTACAAAAACAGGCAGAAGGCCAGATTGACTCTGGGCCATAGTTTGCCAACTCCTAGACTAGAGACCAAAAGAAGAAGTATTTAAGATCCAACCCTAGCAATGACATAGATCACTCCTGTTCATCTTCCACTGGCCAGAACTCAGTCACATGGTCCAATTTAACTGCAGAAATCTAGGAAATGGAGTCTTTCTGTGAGTCCCAGAAGAAAAGCTGTGGAATTTGTGAGCATCCAGCCAGACTCTGCCACAGTGTGATTCTTGCATTGAAAGCCATTTTTTAAACATGATACAACCTTTAAATATATTATACAGTTCAACATATCTATTACTAAGTAAAGTAGTATACACTTTACTTCAAAGGAGACTTGGAAGATTTTCAAGAGTACTTTTCATGGTGTGTGAATTTTGTTCCAAGCATTGACATTGGAACTTAATCTCCATGTGAACTGCGACTCCACATCAAGTGAAATCGTGAAGACCAAAAGAGGAAGAAGTCAGATAGACATGGTTTAGCTCAGGGTTGCCACTAACCAGTTCTGGGGAGCCAGTCTCATTTCCTTCTTGATCCTCAGTGTCTCCTTTTCTAAAATGAGATGCTAGTAGTGCCCAGTCCATGTGGTTTTGGAAGGGTGAAAGTGATACCGTATAACTAAAGCACTTAGCTGCCAGCACTTAGTCAACACCCAACAAGTAGCAAAGACTATCAATTCTTTATTAAGTAAAGGAGCATATAACATAGGAGATCGAAGTCTTACGGGGTGACCAGATGCAAGCTTCTTCATCTTCCTAACCCTCAATTACATCTATAAAATAATCAGTTTCTTTAGCATGTGGGGTTGGGATAAGAATTTCTGTGACTCTTATTATTAAAAATAAACAGAAAACGGTAGAACTACTTACCTGAGAGTGTTGTTGGGAAGATAAACTTTATGTCAATAAAAACACATGGAGGGCAGAAATATGCCAGGTAGTAGAGTAGGTTCTGGGGAAACAAACACAATGAGACATTATAGTGGCTATCTACTGCCCCAGAGCTCCATGATTTAAAACAATAGTTTTAATGCCACAATTCTGTGGGTTGGCCCAGTGGTTCTTCAGCTAGTTTCACTTGGGCTCACGTACATAGCTCCAGTTACCTGGTGGCTTGGCTATGGATTATGTTCACAGGGATGGCTGGGAAGGCTGTGTTCCATGAGAGCAATCCCCTACTTACATCATGATTGCTGATATCCCACTGGCCATGTAAAGTAACATGGCCATCAGGGTGGAAGGGAACCATACCAGGAGGAGGAATTCTTCTGGGACCATTACTGTAATAATTTACTGTTAAGTATCTTATATGCTCTTAAGAAAGCTGCCATGAGGGGCACCTGGGTGGCTCAGCCTGTTAAACATCTGCCTTCAGCTCAGGTCACAATGCTAGGGTCCTAGGATCAAGCCCCAGGTCAGGCTCCCTGTTCAGTGAGGAGCCTGCTTCTCCCTCTGTCTCTCCCCTCTGCTCATGCTCTCTCTCTCTCCCTGTCTCTCCATCACTCTCTCAAACAAATAAAACCTTGGAAAAAAATAAAGCTGCCATGAAATGGCCACCTTTTTTCTTAATTGTAATTATCTTTATTTTTTAACATGAAATGTCCATCTTGCTCCACTAGATTGTCTTCCACAGCCCACCTACCCTGACATCCCCCAGAGAAGCATTGATAAAAGAACCACCTGCTGAGCCTGCATAAAATTGCATAAGTCTGACTTTCCACCCACAACATCAGGCATCATAACACCCATCTCACACCGTCAAATCACTCCTATTCAGATCCCATTGACCAGAACCCAGTCACATAGCCCCAGTATAACTGCAAAGGAGTCTGGGTAATGTGGTCTTCCTGGAAGTCCTAGAACTGAGAAATGGCTCAGTTCTCACAGAGACTCTTACATTGGTGTCATTTCTGCCTCCACAGGGTCCCTCACACTCAGGGAAGCTCACAGTGAGATCTTCCTTTACCCTCGGCATGACTTGGCTGACAGTGTAGCAGCTATGGAGAGATGGTAGGATCTGTAGAGTAGAATGGGTCCAGGAATGTCCAGTCATTCCTGGACATGAGCCCCTCAAATAGACAGTGGGTGGTACAGCGCTGTAGAGTATGTCCCTACTTACCTTCTGGGAAAACAATGTAGGGAGAGAATTGGCCTTACTGTTTTCCTAGAAAGGTGGCATTTCATGGGTTGTTCTGCCTCAATACCAGGAATCAATTAGGACTTATCTCTTCCCACAATACAAAGGACAAGGCCTCTTGGGTTTTGGGAGTGACTTCTAGATCTCCCCCCACATGGGGTCTCCCCTCCACCTGTCCTCTACCTCTCTTGTCTCTCCTTGGTCCTACAGTTCTCTTTTTAAGCCATTCCCTATACAGTATCTCTGCTTTGCTTTTTCCTAGACATGCCAACCATCTTTAAAGAGTGAGATGCAGGTGTCTCACAGAGTGTTGGAATTGAGAGATATGAAAGAAGGCAAGATAATGAAGACACTTCCATGCTAATAAGGCTCACAGGATAGATGAAAAGATATTTAAACCAACAGAATTTGCTAGTGTGGGGTTCTTGACCCATTTCCTTGATGTACTACCCAAAGCCAGCTCCATAATTTACAGGTCCAGTGTAAAAAAAAAAAAAAAAAAAAGTGGGATCCTGTTAAAAAGGCAGGAAGAAAAGTGCCATCAAAGGTACTAAAATGTTTTTTTCTCTTCTCCCACAGTCTGTTTTATGACTTTTCATGGTACTTTTTATTTGCTATTTATATTCATTCTAAGTAAAGAAAAATTAAAATTTTAAATTAGTAACATGAATTTTACCATTCACCTTCATATTGCACAATGTCAGTTTTAAATACAAAAAGAACATTTAACTCCTATGCAGAATCACCAAAAGTGCACAATTCTTGTTTCCTGGCTCCCACATACATGTGGATTTCATTTTTACCAGAACAGTGGAAATGGTGCACCCAACTAACTCAGTTGTTTCCATTTCTTAATTCACCCACATTCTACCCAGAATGATGAGTAAGGAAGGAATGAAAGGAAAAGGGACTATGGGTCGTCTATGTTTCCCTCTCCTTCTATACCTACATTTTCAGCCTAAGTAAGGCTATGATAGGATTGCTCATTTGTGTTTCTTAGAACACCATTGTCTTCTTTCTGTGTTCTAAGAATGTTGTTTTAAATGGAGGTATGGCTTCTTGGGGTTGTCAGTGCCCTTACTTGGCCAATCATAGATGTAACATATTTACCTTATACTCACTTTGAGTATTACTGAACTCCTACACATCATGAATCTACTAAAATTTGTGCTTGGGGGCGTGACAACCACTATATGTGAGTAGGGTGGTGAGGATTAGCAGACATACATACTGGGTGTAATTCTTCTGCTTGCACACATGTTCTGTTGTCCAATCTGGCTTCACTTAATTATGAAGAATTTCAAGATGGCAATAGGAGAGGATTAAACTAAGCACAGGGCCTATCCTTCTGAGCAAAAAGCCCTGTACATGCCCACAAAGCTGAAATAGGCATCTAGAATTTTCGCCAACACCTCCAAATAAAAGCACCCCAAACTGATGTCTTGATCCACCACCATTACCACTATCAAATATTCTCCTCATGTTCTCCTCCTCATCCCAATAATTGGTTCCACTGTCCACTGTTGTGCTGAAGTCCCACCCCCAGTAGACACCTTCCTCTCCCTTAGCACCAGCCCTTTCCTCCTACCACATCCAATCCACTGCCAAATCCTGTTGATTTTCACCTCTAGAAGACTTGCCCAATCTGTCCACTTGTATTTATCTCCACTTATCCTAGGGTAAGCCATCATCAACTGTTGTCTGGACAGCTGTAATCACCTCTTAATTGGTCTCCCTGCTTCCATCTCTGCCTTTTATCCATATGGCTTTCAGAGTGATCAACCTAAAATGTGAAAACTCCATTCAACACTTACTACTGGCTCCTTCTGCTCTTTCAGATCTGAGCTCAAATGTTCCTTCCTCAAAAAGACCTTCCTGGGTCCCTGAAACAAAGTAAGCCCACCCCATACCTCCCCCCTTCTTCTTTCTCAGAGAGCCTGTTCTTTCCCTTTGCTGTGCTTATCACAACTTGAAACTACATATTTGTGGGTGTTTCTTGAGCCAGAATATAAATTCAAAGAAGACAAAGACTATTTCATTCACTACCTATATGTCCAGCAACTAGCACAGTGCTTGGTCTTTGACGGGTGCTCAAATTTTTTTAAGGAATGTATGAATGGATTCATGAGGTGGAGGCGAAGGGAGGATCTAGGCTAACTCCCAGATCTCTGGCTAACAAGGACAGGGAGCTAGTGGTGGCAGACAGAAGAAGGAGCAGTTCTAGGGGGAAAATAATTAATTTAGAAAGAGAACGAGCTGATGTAGGTGAAATTGCTTTATAAGCTACAGATATTATAAATGTACGATAGGAAGTAAGAGAAGCCAACATTACCTAATGTAAGTTGGATGAGTATATCATCAAAACCAGTGCACTTTAAGAACAAATGGGATACTAGAAATAATCATGCTTTGGTAATAGGCATAAACCAGGACTGGCCACGCAATAAGGCATATGGTCACCCTAAGAATAGATTATAAAGCCGTAAAGACACAGGGCTCTGTCCCAGGGCCCACGAGGAAGAGTGTCCTGCTTTGGCCAAAGGCCAACACCCTAGTTCACTCTACTAGGACCAGGGCACAAAAGCCCACTTCATAGACATGGTTTCCTGGTAGTATATGAAGCAGGGTAGATATTGATCTCAAAGAAGTCAATCACGAGGTATTAAGGTATTCCAACTCAGCTGGCAAGTCATGATGTTGCATGAAATAAGTGGTAGTCAAATGTTTGCAAGCTCCAAGCAGGGACAGGCAGTCATGGAAGACTTCCTAGAAGAGGTGATTCTTGAGAGACTGGCAGACTTTGGACAGAGGCAGAGGAAGAGGAATAGTGTTTCAGGAGAAAGGAACAGCATGAACAAACACCAGGAGGCAGGAAAAATGAAGTTAAATTGGTCATTCTCATTTGTCCTTTGATATCCCCCCCGCTACCACCACCACCATTTAGCTCACAGATCCTTATTGTGAAGTCTTTTTTTTTTGGTAACAATCTGTTTGGGGATTTGAAACCTTGCTCCCCATCATCATCCTGCTCTGTGTGGATGAGCAGCAAAGAGGAGCTGACCATAACTGGCATAGTTGGTGTGGTCCAGGGGACTGGGCCTGGGAATGACTAATTAAATGAAGCCATTTTGTCAGAAGCTGATGAGACCATTTGCAAAAATGTCTATAGTAGTGTTTTTCCAATCATGCATTAGTAGGTCAACCAGGTTTGGGGGATTTTTTTTTTTTTTTAGTAATATAAAACACAGCAGAAGAGAACATACCAGAATTAATTGCAAAAGTAAGGATAAATTATTGCTTTGAAAAACTTTTGTTTTAGTCACATTTACATGAATGTGAGGGTCATGGTCAAAAATCTTTAAGAACATTGCCTGAGTCAGAGTCTTTTTATTAACTTCTATTCCAGAGGAAACGGCTCTTTGGGAGAAAGTAAGCTGGAGGTCCCTGATGTTAATTGGATGCTTTTCTAAGATTCAGAAAGCCAACAGAAAAGAATCCTCCAGCTTTTGGATTTTGCATTCTAAAAAGGAGTCAGAGATGGACGTCATGCTACATTATAAAGTGCTTCTCTTACCTTCCTCTCCTTCTCTACTCCTACCCTCCTTCTAAGCCATTAATAGGTCCATCCATATGGCGCAAACAAAATAGAGACAGCACAGGCTGCTAGGCAATACTGACACATGGTGTGGACAAGAATTTGCGGCTCATCAACCTCAACGTGGATTTCTCTGAAGGGCTATTTCTGGAAATGCCTTAACAATGA